ACGATTGAGACTTTTAGGCAATCGGCGTTATGCCATGGAATCGTGTTCACCATCCATGGTGAACACAGTCCCAAACGGTAACGGTGCCTACGGGCACCGATCTTCCACCAATCTTTTTTTTTTTTTTTTTTTTTTTTTAACAGCGTGACTTTTCTTCTTCGTATTCACATTTTGCAGTTTCACTTCCGCTTCGCGCAAGTTTCTTCAACACTCATAAATTATGAATGTGCAGGCATGAATTTATGAATGTGCAGTTATGAAATTCTTTTATGAGATTATGAATTTTCTGTTATGAAATTATGAATTTTCTGTTATGAGATTATGAATGTACAGAAAATTCATAATTACATAACTGTAAATTCATAATCTCATAAAAGAATTTAATAATTTAATAAATATAAATTCATAATTTGAACATAGAATACAAAACGCCGTTAACAGCACATTAACTAAATTTTTTTCTAGTAAAAATGATACCGTTTGAGACCGTATTCACCAAGATTGATGAACATGTTTCCACGACATAATTTGCGTCTTGTAGGCCTCTTGTTTGGGCCTATGGATTGTACAGCATTACTGAATCAGTGAATCCCATCTAAAAATATGGAGCTAATGGCTTTAGGCCTAAGTGGGTATATTGAACCCAAAAAGCACACATCAACAAAATTGACAATTACTAAGATTGATTCTGATTCCCATCTAAAAATATGGAGCTAATGGCTTTAGGCCTAAGTTGGTATATTGAACCCAAAAAGCACACATCAACAAATTTGACAATTACTAAGATTGATTCTATGTTCATAATTATGTTCCCAACTCTATGCTCATAATTATAAAATTATATATTCATAATTTTTGAATTATATATTCATAATTATGAATAATTTTAAAATCATGTCCATCTTACAAGGTAGACACGGATCCACCACATATTATAGAGGGACATTTTTTACAATTTTCTCAAATATATACTTTATCCCAAATTGTTTCAAAGAAAAATGTTTGGTTCATAACCCACGTACATCACAAATAATTGTTTCTTTTTTTTTTTTTTTTTGTCCATCTTAGCTCTCTTAAAGCTAGTTGAAAAATTGAGTTAATTCCACCGGAGGTCCTTTGTCTTTGGTGTCAATTTCAAATTTAGTCTCAGATTATCGTTTTTGTCATTTTACATCCCAGACTATCGTTTTTGGATACTTTTAGTCCTTCTCATGATTTTTTATATTTTTAGTAAGGGCATTTTTGTCTTTTCATATTTTTCTTTTGTTATTTTTTCGGTTTCAACCAGTTTAATTGGTTTAGAACTTTAGGTAACCTCTGATTTTTAGTAACCATATTTGTCAACCATTTTTTAGTAAAAACCTAAACCAATTAAATTGGTTGAAACCGGAAAAATAACAAAAGAAAAATATGAAGAGACAAAAATACCCATACTAAAAATAGAAAAAAATCATGAGAATGACTAAAAGTGTTCAAAAAACTATAGTTGGGATGTAAAATGGCAAAAACAATAGTCTGGGACTAAATTTGGAATTACCACCAAAGACAAAGGACCTCCGATGGAATTAACTCTTGAAAAATTAGATAAAACCTGAAATTGAAAACTGATAAGTTAACTAATTAGAATTTAAAATGTTTGGTAAAGTTAATACTCGTTTGGTATACGGAAAATATTTAAGAGGAAATGAAATTGAAATTCCATGAAAAATAAAATACCAGGAAGATTGATTCTATTGTTTAGTTTGTGGAAAATAAATTACTAAGAATATTAATTCCGTTTTTTGGTTTTTAGGTTGGAATGGTAAGGGATAATAAGTATAATGACTAAAGCGTTCATACACAATGATAATGATAATAAAAGTAATAAGGGTAAAATTGTCCGATCATTTAAAACTTTCTTCCTAATTTTCATGAAAAACAAAATAACAGCCGCTCTTAAAAATTCAATCATTTAAAACTTTCTTCCCAATCTACCTCTTCTTGTTGGCACACACAAAATCGAACTAATTAATGTGGTTGCTATTAGAGCATCACCAACAATGACAAATTTAAAATTTTTAAAAAAGTTTTTAAATGTGGTGGAAGAAAGAGACAATAGGAGATGAGATCAGAGAGGAGATCTTGTATATTGAAGGAATTTTTGTGAGCTTTGTGGAAAAAATATTAAAAAAAATAAAATAAAATCAGTGTGTCTCGAGCACTAGCTAGCAACTTTTTTTTTTTTCCATTTTCTCCTCTGATCTCTTTCTCTCCCATTGGCAAAAACAAACAAACAAACAAACTTGACAAATTTGTGAATTGTTGTGGATGCTGACATGCTGTTACACATAAATGTCACGTCAAAAATAACACAAAAAGTAAGTTTTTAAAAAATTAAAGGGGAAATGCTATTTTTCTTCTGAAATTGATATGGCTATCCTAGATTCCTAGGTATCAACCTTTCCCTCATTTTCTTTTCCAGATATGCAAAGGGTTTTTGGATCACTGTACTCAACTGTTTACAGTTTTGTAGAATTGTACCCCAATATGGCAATATGTATTGTACTCCACTACTCCGTAATAAATTAAGTTGGTCAAATATATAACTTCCATATGCAAATAATATTCAGCTAATAATTTTTCTTTTGGAACGAGAAAACTCATAACTATTATCTAAATGTGTACATGAATAAACTCACTTATGTATAATAGATTAAAAATTACACACGAAAAAAGAAATCAGATAAGAGAGATTATGTTCATGTGACGAACTCCACCAAAAAACTACTAACAAAACTATCATTATCACGTTTCACATACTCAATCATCTCTTCCGATGCATCATTGTTGTTGTCTATTTTATGGTTTCTCTTTACATTCCACTGGTTCTTTTTATTTTCTTTTAAAATGAGCATGCACGGGAAACATAAATGAGAAAAATGCACTGAATGATGAAAGATATGGATTAGATTTCTTATGCACCCATCAAAAAGAGTTGACTAATTGCGCGACTCACGATTTACCTTTGCATGGTGAGGTCCTGTGGACTTAGGATTAGTCTGACAAAGTCGAGACTATATATATATATATATATATATATATATGTGTGTGTGTGTGTGTGTGTGTGTGTGTGTGTGTGTGTGTGTGTGTGTGTGTGTGTGTGTGTGTGTGCGCGCGCGCGCGCACGTGTAGGATCAAGTGCGAAGAAGTTCCCACGTGAAAAATGTGCATAAATACTAGCAATTGATTTAGTCCAAATCAACTAATCTTTAAAAAAAAATAAAACTATACACTTTTAATATACAAAAACATACATTTGAAGACATAACAATATACATTGGATGGCACAATAATGTGCATTGGAAGATGCAAAATGTTTATTCTTCTTCATGGGATTATAAAGCCCATTTCTTGAACCCATCACTTTCCTTCCCTCTTTCATGGGACTTAACAATGGGTCTCTTGAACATGTTAAACTAGTCCTGTGACAAGACACAACAATATGCACTCGACCAGGGACGGAGGTAGCTTATGGGGAAGGGGGCCCCTGGCCCCCCACCCCACCCCTACTTTCACCTTAATTTTTTATATAAATATATATGTATATATTGATATAGTAGGGATAAAATACACTTTTGGTCCCCCTCTATTTTTTTTAAAAAATAATCATTTATATTAAATGAACTCAAAATATATATTAAAGTTCAAATTTATTAAATAAAAAGGAATAAATCAAATAACTAAAGTGACCGTACTATTTTTCTTTATTATCTTATTTTTTTATCAATATTTTAATAATGAATGGCATCAAGTATACATTTTAATTTAAAAAAATCTCCAAATTTTTCTTTCAAAAAAATCTCCAAATTTGAGATATATGCTTTGATTTTATTAGTTATATATGTTGATGTTGATTAATTAATTAGTTATTTACTGTGCGTTTTAATTATTTATTTACATTTTTAAGATGTACATTTGCTAATTTAAATGATTAGTTTTGAAATTGACAAAAATTAATATTGATTATTTAATTCGTCTTCGTTTTTGTCTTTATCTCTCAAATTTTTAAATATTCAGTTAACGAGTAAAATGAATATAAGTTAATTATGAAAAAATTTGGTGAAAAAAATAATTGACAAAACTTTTTATTTGATGTTAAGTGACAATCTATATTTAAATAAATGTTGTTGTTATTGTTATTAACTTATTATTATATTTTGTGTTATGTGAAAAATTTCTAAAGTAATGATCGACACCTGTGTCGATCGTACTCATATAATTATGTTTTTATACTTTATTACACATAGTATAATTAGAAATCATTATCAATAATAATCACAATAATTTATGGTATATATAAAAATATGGTGCGATTAATTATAATGTCGACTAACATTATAAATTTTATCTACTACATCGGCCCCCCAACTAAGTTTTCTGGCTCCGTCCCTGCACTCGACGACACAAAATGTTCATTCTTTTTCATGGGATAAACCCGTTTCTTGAACCCGTCACTTATTATTAAACCCGTCACTTTTCAACAGATCTATTGAACCTGTTAAATCACGATCTATTGAACCTGTTAAATCACGACAATGTGTACTAAAATACATAACACTGTGTACTATAAGCCAAAACAATATGCACTTACAAACAAAAAATTACCAAATTGTTGCCCTTTTTTTCTTCTCTTCATTCTAGGCGATTTATCTAGATATATAAAATTAAAAACCTAAAGTCATAGGCTTATGGAAAGTCCTCATTCAAAACAAGAATCTCATCTTATAGAAACTTTTTAACAGCCAATGCAGTCCGCACAAAGGCCGCGTATACAAAGTGACAACAAAAATTGAAATTTTAACATTGAAAATTGAAAGCTTCTATGCAAAATAGTACTAGAAATGAAAACCAAATAACGTTGATTTCTATCTGGGTTTTTTCATTGCCATGCAGAATGGCAATGAACCGCATTCTTCATCCAATCAGAGGCTTCCACGTAACCCAACCCTCTTGCCTTGCTGTCACATCTGAATCCATCGACCCAGCTGCGTCGGATTGACTATGCCAACAATGCGGGCCCCATCGCCGTTCAGCAAGCTCGCAACCTCGGCGTAGCTCTGGCTCGGCTCCAACCCGTTTCCGTGCCCCTGACCCGGCTTGCCCCTTCTCGGCTCACTTGTCCTGTTTACTGGAACGGCTTCGACGCGGGCCGGGTCGAACTCTTGACCCAACAGCGTTCCTTTGGTTATGAACTCGTGAGCCATGTACCCGGCTAGAAGCCGGGTTGATGAGACGGGATCCGCCTGCTTCGACGACGTCGTATCCATCACTGGACTTGACGGCTGTGACGGGTAAAACGTCTCTTCTCTCTCTTTCCGCTTACGATACGCTCCAGCTGTCACGATTCGCCGTGAGTAATGACTCATCTCCACCGTCCGTTTCACTAATTCAATCAAGTACCCAACGGACGCCACGTCAGCAACAAGATTTTTTCTTCATTTATTAAAATATATTCTCCGTTAGGAAAGCAAAAACAACAAAAGGAAGCGGCCAAATCGGAAGAATTTGCGATCTGTTAGGAATAAGGGTAGAAATGTAATTTCAGTAAGGCAAAAAAAAAAAAAAACCAGTATTGAATTAGTGAAAATGTTAAGAAGGGAGAGAAAAAAGGTTTTTCGGACTTCGATTGAGGTGAAAGGAGATCGAGATGGGGCTGCCGGAATCTGGAAATAATAGGGGGGTTTTGGTTCGCGGATGGCGGAATAAGAGGCGGCGCCGCCGTGAGAGGTGGCCAAACCGGAGAGAAGGGAGAGAGAAAATAAGATAGGGCAGAAGAGGGGACAACGGCGAATTGGAGAAAAGATTGAAAAGTGATGGGGGTATATATGGAGAGCGGAGGGGGAGATTGATATATCTTGAACTGCTATTATATGTAATAGCCCTCAACTTTTAAGATATTATCGCAAACGCCCCAAGTGATGTCTTTTATTTTATTTTTTTGGGTGTAATAGTTAAATAGACTTGAATTTTTAACAGCATATATCATTAAATAATAAGTTAAAATTTCTTGGTACACTATCTTAATAAAGTGTAACTGTCTGAATAGTTTAATGCTTAATGTGTATTTTTAAATTAGTGTTTCATAATTAATCAAAGTATTATTTGGTATCTTGGTGTATATCAATTTAAGATTATCAATTTTTTTCATTAAAATAAATATTTCAAGAATGCATAATTATGACTTGTGACAGAAATGTTGAATTAACTGGTGCAATAATAGTTTTAGAGGGAAGCACCCACACTGGATAATACCTAAGCATAGATTTTGCAAACACAAAGCTCTATTAATTAATTGGCATGATCCATGCTTCCTATTGTTGCCACTTCCACCAGAAATGAATTCTTGGTTTGATCTAGTCTCTTGGTGATTCACTGCAATTTTAGTGTCTTGACGCAGTGAACCTTAAAATACAGAACGAATTAAATCCTCATTCCCCAAAAAGACAATGATAATAGACATAATTTCTCATCTGTGTTGAATATATATTGTAAATTAGGTATACCGTTTCATCAATTCGCAATTCATGATTGTAATTAATTGACCAAAGTTTTTGTTAAAGTTAATATTGCATTTTTAAAAAAAAAACAACCATCAAAGCGAACTATTATTTGCGAAATCAAATCACGAATACAATCAGGGATATCTATGTCCCACACCTCCAAACCAGTTCACGAGCAAGATGATATAGCTAGAGAGTGAGCAATCACATTGACTATTAATTGTATATTTTTAATACACTCTAACATATTCATAGTATATGTCTAACAATTATATCAATTTTGATTTGGATAAGGTTCAAACCTAAGACTTTCATTATAAAATTCAATAAGTTAAGAATAATTCATAGTTATGCTTTTAAGGAAGCTCTTTCTTGGCTACGCGAGCGTGGAGAGCAAAATATAGAGCTTTATACAGATTGCCAGGTACTGCAGAATTACTTAACGACACCACAGCTGCTGACACGATCGTATGTTGGCTATGCAATTGATGGATGCAGGAATTATTTATCTACTTTTAATTATTGTCATGTTAACTTCTTACCTAGATCGCAAAATATTTTAGCACATAGTTTAGCTACTACAGCTTTCCAGTATGACACAACTATGTATTGGGATACTATCTCACCTGACGCTATTTCAGCTTATCTATGAATACAACCCATTGGTTGACCTTCAAAAAAAAATAGTTAATGGAATATTCCATTACTAAAATTTACACTAACGGAATGCATGGGTATTTAGAAAAAAAAAAAAAAAAAAGTAAATGATGTTATACAGGATAAAGTAGGAAGAATAATAAAAGAAAATACAAAAATCAAAATAATATGAACATTTCATTTCAACAAACAATTACACTAACATTTTTTAGTTCTAGTTAAGGACCTAACTTTATTAACTATTGTTAGATTTGTAGATGTAGAAATATAAAGGCCATGTTTGATAACATAGTTAGCTTATTAGCTAATTTTGATTTATTTAATCACCATTAGTTGTTTTACTTGGTTAAACAATAAATATGAGTATTTGATTAATTGATTTTTTTGTAACAACTTATGGCTCCAAAATGTTAAAATTCAAAAAGCTACTCAAAGTAATTTTTTCTATAAGCTTTTTGAGAAAGTCAATTTGAATGGAATCATCTATCAGCTAACAGTCAATTTATCAAACACTTTTCTACAATCAGCTAATACTATCAACTAGTTAAACTCACTAACTCAATTAGCTATCAACTAACAGCTATTTAACAAACACTCAAAATATGTTGGAGGTTTGAATCTTGTAAAGTGTGCAAGATTGATGATTTGGATATAATTGAGCAAAGTGTCAACTTGAGACGGCAATTTATATTCTGCACCACGGCGCGCGTTGCATTGTGCATCTAGATGCAAAACGATGTCGTTTCAATTTAATTTTTTTTTGAAATTTCGCTACCCAGTGTTTGACAGTTAATTTTTCTTTAAAAAAATCTCATGTTAAAAAATGTACATAATATTATACTAGAATACACATAATTGTATACATGAATGTACATAATTATATAACAAAATACACATATTTTTTTTAAAAAAGATAATACACATAATCTAACATAATACATAATAAACATAAACTTTTAACATAATACACATAAACTCTTAACATAATACACAAAAATTTTCTGATTTGGATCTACATAATTGTATTAAAAAATGTACATAATTGTATAAAAAATGTACATAATAAAAAATATACATAATTGTACAAACAAATATACATAATCATGTCAACTTCCTACCGCGCCTCCCAAAATGACGTCGTTTTGGGAGACGCGGGGCGCACAGTGCACAATGCGCCGTGGTGCAAGGTGTAACGATTGACTTGAGACTGAGGCTCGTTGTTGGGCTGGATTTTATTTTGGGCTCTGACCATTTCGTGGACTTTTTAATGTTGAAGAAAAGAATAAATCGTTTTTTCATGTTATTTTACTTCTTAATGTTTACATCCAAAAAAAAAAAAAAAAAAAAATTTATCTCCAAACTATACTAATAAAACTCTTTGTATCCATGAGTTGTTTAACAAACGGATAAATCATACTTTTCTTTTTCAGCAGTTTGGTTCACCGTTCACGGAATGAATTTTGAGGTAATAGAAATTCTATTCCATAAATAATGGAATATGCAATAAATAGAATATGAATTGTATTTTATTGTTTGGTTCGCGGAAGGAATAGATTTTACGAATTATATTACAGTGTTGGGTTGGTTTAAAAAATATAAATGAAATATGTTTTAAAAGACATAAATACCCTTATAAAAATATGTGGTGGTGGCGATGGTGGCGGTGGCAGTGGTGATGGTGGTGGTGGCGGCGATAGTGATGGTGGTGGCAGTGAAATAGGAAATAAATTTAATTGGGGAGTAAAATAGAAAATAACAACTTTAGGCTATTCATGAGCATCCACAGGAATCTCTATTCCCCTTGCAAGAGGAATAGGTCATTCCTAGGAACATTGTTCCCAATGTTCCTGGGAATAAAGCAATATGCCTATTAATGGGAATGCTATTCAATTCCAAGTTTATTTTGCGAACCAAACGTGCCATTTGAGTATTAGTGACTATTTAAAACTAGTTTCTCAACCTACTCATGCACAAAGAGTCTATATCACCTCCATCGAGTCTCGAATCCATAACCTCCTATATGAGAGAGTAACTTAGTATCACTAAACTACAAGTGCAACTGATAGATCATACTCGAGTTTTAAAAAATATGTATTTTCTAATCATACATAAAAAAAAATAGCAAATTAAGTAGTGCCACCACACATTGAAAAAAATAGTTCAGTAATCATTTTCTTTAAAGACAATTAAGTAGTGTACATGGGAAACTAAATTTAAGAGGAGAATATATCTATTATAATAATACTATTTATTCAAAAATACACAACTTAACATAAACATATATAGATGCAATTCATAGCTCCGCGTCCCGGCAAGAATTGGCTTTTTTGTCTGACTGGTCAAACATGGAAAAGTTTTAACAAATGCTGAAAGAACTAGGAGGAAACTAACAACTAATGCTATGTGTTTTCGCTGTGCAGGTACGGTGGAAAACCTGGAGCATCTGTTTCGATGGTGCCCGGCTGCAAGGGACGTTTGGGAGGATTCCATGCACTGGAGTATAAAGGCTAGGCTCAGAAGCCTGACGGGGGACAATTGGTTCGACGAGAACCTAAGGGGCGATGCAAAACGCTGCTTTGACGAAGATTGGCCGGAACGCTTCGCTGTGAGGCTTTGGTGGCTCTGGCGATGGCGAAATGATGAGGTTTTCAGCGCCAAAGGGATGCCACCTGGGCAGAAGCGGGAATGGTTGACGCGATATGATGGGGATGTCAAGCTTGCGTTTGCCAAGAAGTGGTCGCCGGCTTCGGGGGGGGGGGGGGGGGGGGGGGGGGGGAACAACGACAGCAACAGTTCGGGTAGGCTGGCAGCGCCCGGACTATGGATGACTCAAGCTAAATGTGGATGGGAGTAGCAAAGGAGGCAACTTAGTAGGCTGTGGAGGTGTCCTCAGAGACTAGCGAGGGGTGTGGCAGACGGGATTTACGCACAAGATTGGCCGCTGTACGGCAGAGGAGGCGGAGGCCTGGGGACTTTTGCAGGGCATCCGTTTGGCGAGAGAGCACGGCGCCAGGAATGTAGTAGTGGAATGTGACTCCAAAAGGGTCACCGAGTAGATGTGCAGGGCGATGGATGGTCAGAGCCCAAGTAGCAACATCCTTCGCCTTTGCGCGCAAGAAGCAACACGAATTCTGGAAGTCAGATTTGCTCACGTCCACCGGGAGCAAAATAAGGTTGCGGACGCTTTGGCAAACTTGGCAATGGCGCAC